GCAGGAATGCTGGCGGGAGGGAGGGATGGAGGGAGGCATGGGAGCAGGAGAAGGGGAGGGAGAGGCGGGGTGGTTTGGGATCGGTGCAAGGGCGCCCTGGGTCGCGGGAGCCAAGGCGGCCAGGCGCGCGAGTACCCTTCCCCCGAGGCGCGGAACGCCTTTCCGAGGGAGCTCTGGGAAGGGGTTCCATGAGCCGGGTGGATGGCCCACTTGGGGCCTCGGAGCATCAGCCGGACGGATGGCCCACTTGGGGCCCTGGACCAGTGCAGGGGTACTGGGTGCCCCGGTGTGATGTTCCATGAGCCGGGTGGATGGCCCACTTGGGGCCTGGGGGCGGCGAGGGGGTTGCGCGCAGGGCGTGCGAGGGTCGGGGGCGTGCATGAGCCGGATGGATGGCCCACTTGGGGCCTCGGGGGGGGCGGCCTCCAGGAGCCGGGTGGATGGCCCACTTGGGGCCTCGGAGCATCAGCCGGACGGATGGCCCACTTGGGGCCTGCATTCGGCCTCCGCGGAACAGCGTTCGGGAAGGGCTGCGCGCCTTCCCGGAACAGCGTTCGGGAAGGGCTGGCGGCGGAGGGAATGGGGAGGGGTGGGAGCGGGAGAGCACGAGGTTGGAAGAAAGGGGCAAATGGAGGGAGGGAAGGGGAAGGGGACGGGGGAAGGCGAAATAGGACAGGGGAGCTGGGGGAAGGGAGGGGGAGGGGGGGGGGAGGGATGAGGGAGGCAGAGTGCGAGAGAAAATGGGCGCGGTTGGCAGATGTAAGTAGCGGGCTAGCATCAGTGAGGCGCTGAACGACACTGGTGTGGGACGCGGGGCGACGACGACGACGACGACGACGACGACGACGACGCGGGGCGAAAAGGGGAGTGAAGGGAGAAAAGGGGAGGTGGCGGCGGAGGGGGCAAGGGGCTGCGCGGTGGGCGGAGGCAGGGGGAGGGCCAGCACGGGAGCGTGCACGGGGCAGACCAGGCGAAGTGGCCACTTCGGCGCCACAGAAAGGGCGCGGCGGTCGACGGGCACACCTAGGACGAGAAGGAGAGAGGGTGGCAGAACAGCAATTCCAAGGCTGCCCCTCGCAGACAATTTGGCTTCACTCGTGCGGCCTGATCCCGCTTCGAGGTGTCTCCATGTCGACGCGGTAGCGGGCCGTGGGCCGAGGCGACCGAACTGCTCCGAACGCTGGGCGGAAAGGCGTTCCAGAAATCTTGGAACGCCTCCCCGAAAGCCGTTCCATGCACCCTTTCGACGGCCCACCTTCTGGATGGCCCTGTTCGCCCCGCCTAAATGCCGTCACGGCGTGAGGCGAAAGTGCGGAAACGGTCCCGGCACGTCCCAGGAAGACCCCGAGACGGTTCAAGAGAGTTTTTGTTTTTCTCCATCTATCCTTCTGCCTCCTGTCGCTGTCCTTCCTCGTCCCTCCCGCACGTGTCTGCCAGCCAGCGTGACAGCGCGTGCATGCTGTTTCAAGGCGGCTTTCTCTTCGTGTTCCGTTACCTTCCTTCGTCCTGCACGTGCTCCGCCAGCTGGCGTGACAGCATATGCATTGAGTATCAATGCTCTGTTCCCTCCTTCCTCCGTCTTTCCTCGATCTTCCTGCAAGTGCTCCGCCACCCGGCGTGACAGCGCGTGCAGTATGTATCGGCAGTTTGCCCTCCGTCCTTTGGCATTCTTCGTTCCTTCTGCACGTGCTCTGCCAGCTCTATTTCAGGGCAGTGTTTGTCCCGTCCTCCGTCATTCCTCGCCACTTCCGCATGTGTTCGGCCAGACCGGCCAAGGAAATGTGAAAACATCCAAAGACTGGCAAATTACGGCCTCGACATTACATCAGAAAGCTGGTCAATGCCCCAAGGTTGTTCAGCGATCTCCCCGACGAGCCCGCAAGCCAGACTTGCGTGTCGTGACCATGATATGGCAACCCTGGATGGCGTCATTCGGGCGAAAGACACCTGCCCACCCCCCAAGACAGCGCCTAAACAGCCCGAGCGCCAGTCCAAGGAAGCCCTGCGACATCCCATAACTGGCCCAAGACGGTCACAGCCTTTCCCCGACAGCGAGTCACCCGCAAACCCCGACCTTTGTGATGACACAGGGCCATGGGTTGAGCTAGAACCTAAACGCGCGCGAAGCGCCTGCGTAGTGCTAGTTCAAATGTGTAAAGATACATGTACATAGATGTATACATTTATAATATATATGTATATACAAGACTGCAGTGGCGCTTCGCGCCATGCACCTTGGTCCTTGGAGTTTGGTATGCAGGCGGAAATTGCAGGAAGGTCAAGCCGACAATTTAGCAATGATTCCTTGCTACCTTTTCTGGCATCGCCGTTATAATAATGTGGTTCGTTGTCCTTCTTCCATGCTTATTGTTCTTCATTCTCGCCATACCCTGGGCATTCTCCCCATCCTCCTCAGCTCTTTTTGCGGAGGCTCCTCCTTGGAGAGCCTCTGGGGGCCTCACCAAAGTTCTCAGGCTTTCTTAAAGCCTTCTGGAGGCCTCCTGGGTGTGTTCTGGGAGCCTCTGGGGCTTCCTAAGGCCAACCTGCCTCTAACCGCGGTCTCCCTGAACGCCCCAGTCACGATTTGGAATGCTTCGGAGGGCGTCTTGGGGCCATCTTGGGCCGCCATGGTGCTCTCTTAGGGCCATTTTGGACCCCTGTTGTGCCGTTTTGGGGCTCTCTTGGACTGCCTGGAAGCCCTTTCGGATGGTTGTGGGGCGATTTTGGAGCCTCCCAGGCGGCTTCGGACGCCTAGGAGACCGCCGTCTTGGAGCGCCGGGAAGCCGAAAAGAGGAGAACCCCAAATGCACCAAAAACCTACATAGAATCAATGATTTTCCCTCTTGGGGCCTTCTTGGGGGTGCTCTTGGAGGCCTCTTGGTACGTTTTGGAACGATCTTTCGGGGTATGACGGCTTCTTGGAGCGCTCTTGTGCTGTCTTAGGGGTCTCTGGGACGTCTCCGGTGACCCCCCTGATCGCCCTGGGTGTGCTGCGAAGGCTTGGCAAAACTCCCTGCGAGGCCCAGGGGGCCGCTTCGACGCCCGTCTGGAGGGTCCCAAAGCTGCAGATCCCGGGGGTCTGGTTTTAGGGGGGGGACGGGTTCTCCCCCCGCCGGGGCTTATACAAATATAGGAAGAGGAGTATATATACTGTTTATATATACATATATATATAGGTAGAGAGATCAACCATGGATACAGATATGGTCGACAGAGAACACGTATTTTTGAATGTAAGTGAATCTCGGCATGATTGGGTCTCCCCTGGCAGATCCCCTTGGGATGCCCAAGTGCCATGCTTGCTACATCGCTGTCATCATGTAACTCTCAAAAGAGAGGAAGGAAACGGGGAAGCCACAACCAGCGTTTCGCATGAGACATCCCCACAGACTGGGCGCGAACGGGCCTGTGTAACATTCCCTGGCAGTTCCCCCCCCTTTGGGGATGTCCAAGTGCTGTGCCTGCTACATCGCTGTGATCATGGGTTTCGTAAGAGAAAGGATATGGGTCGCGCCAAAGCCAGCGCTTCGCCTCGGCTCTTGTAGCGTCCCAAGAGCGCCCCCTCGGGATGCGCAACCGACATGCCTGTTACATTGCGGTGATCATGGGGCCCTCAAGGTGGCGCCGGCACCAGCGTTTCGCTTGAGACATTCCCACAATTTGAGCGCGAACGGGCCTGTGTAACACCCTCTGGCGGCTGTCACTTGGATGCCCAAGCGCGATGCCTGCCACATCCCGATGTTCATGCGACGCGAGCGGGCCCGTGTAAAAACCCGCGGCGGACCCCATTTGGGATGCCCAAAACTGCTACATCGCGGCGATCACGGGGCTCCCACCAGAGAGGAGTCGGGGGCGCCGAGACCAGCGCCTCGCATGAGACGTCCCCAAAGCTGCGCGCAGGCGGGCCAGTGCAATACCTCTTGGCGGTTGTCCTTTGGGAGTCCTAAGTGAGATGCCTGCTATATCGTAGTGGTTAGAGGGCTTTCAAAAGCATCTGGCTCCGAGAAAGGCCATTCGATCCGACAAGTCCCAGCAACCTGCTCGCGAACGGGCCCGTGCAAGACCCCCTGACGGCTTCCCCTTGGGAGGGCCGAAACGCGATTCTCGCTACATCACGGTGGTCATGGGGCCGCACAAAAAGACGCGTACACTTCCGAACACGGCAAGTCCACTTGAGAGATCTCAGCAATTTTGTCGCGAAGGGTCCCGCGCAAAACCCTATGGTCGTTCCGTTTGGGGGAGGCCTAAACGCGATGCTTGTTACATCGCGGTGATCATCGGGCTGTGCAAAGAGACAGGTCTACTTCCTAAAACGACGATTCTACCCGAGAGTTCCAACCAATCTGGACGCGAACGGGCCCGTGTCATACCCCCCGACGGCTCCCTTTCTGGAGGCCGAGGTGCGGTGCTTGCTGCATGCCGATGAGTCTGAGTATGAGTGAGTCCTGGTGTGCGTGGTGAGCCTGAGTGTGAGTGAGTTTGGATGTGAGAGAATATGAGCATGAGTGAGTATGAGTGAGTGAGCCTGAGTGTGAGTGAATATGAAAGTGAGTGAGTCTGAGCATAAGTGAGAATGCGTGTGAGTGAGTCTGAATACGAGTCAATACGAGTGAGAGTAAGTATGTCTGTGTACGAGCGAGCCTGCGTGTGAGTGAGCCGCAGTAAGTTCGAGTCCCCGGATATGAGCCAGTCTGACCGTGAGTGTGTATAGGCAACGAGGCGGGTGAGTGAAGGAAGGGGGGGCGTGACATCATTAACAAGAGTCACAGACCTCTGATTTAAGGGGAAAGAAGCAATCCCATGCATGTTATGTTATGTCGATGCTTCTCCTTCCAGGAACGTGTGCCACGGGAGGGCCCCGGCATGAGCTTTGACGGATCAGTGTCCGTGAGATGTTTGCATTGGAAAATCGCGTTAAATACCAGACTACGTCCCGTCATTTTCATGATGTTGCCGTCAGGCTGATTCGAGCCCCCAAATTCGAGTCTTACGTCTCCCCGAGAGGATCGTGTGCCACAAGAGGCAGAACGTGGTCGTGAGCATCAAGAGCCTGGCGGTTCCTGTCGAGACGGCGCTGTTCCAGGCCCGCGTGGCGGAGGGCGACTCGACGAAGCTCTCGGGTGCTCGGGGGAGCAAGGAGTCATGAGAATGATGCGCTCACAGGTTTCTAAGATCTCCTGGGCGGCCTTGGGCTACCGTGCCTCCCCAGACATGCGACGTCTTGATTTTTTCAGGACGGCGTCCCCGGAAGTCCCGGCCCTTTCCCCGGGGCCGGTTTTTCGTCCTGAGTCGTTTTTTGACGGTCCCGAGGCCCGGCGAGGGCCCCCCGAGGCCGAAAATGGGCAAAAACCTCCCATCATGATTTTTTAACGACGCGATCATGTCTCTGGGTCTGCCCCCCCTGACGTGCTGGCGCCCTCGCGCTGCGAAAATGCCTCAGGGTCCCGCGGGCCCGCTGGCGGGCGGAAGCGGCGCGCTCCGCTCCGCTCCGCACCGGGCCACGGGACCGCCACAAAATGGGGAGCCTTTTGGCGCGGCACAGACGGCGTCGGACGTCTGCCCCCGCCCCCGATCTGCCTCGCCCGCCGCTCCCCTCCCCGCTCCGCGCGGCTGCTCTCCACGCAGAGCCGCCCCCTGGTAGACAGCCGAAAACAAGAATAGCTTCCCGTCGAGGCGCCGCGCACACAGTATCTATTAGTATCTATTTTTTAGAAATAGACGCTTTTAGAAATTATCGTAAGGCCCGCCGCTCCGGCCGCATCGGGTCCGGTGCCAAGCGCCCGGGCGCGCCTGCTCCGCCCCCGCCCCCGCCCCCCCCCACACTCCGCGAGCTTCTCCTTGCGGCGACCCGGGGCTCGGGTCGGCTGCATATGCAGGAGCCTGGCATCGCTCGGACGTGTGCATTTTTTCCTCGGCGAGAGCCATCGACCCAGACCCCCTCGAGTCATGAAAAAATCACGACGGAAGGTTTTTCCATATTTTCCGCCTCTCGGGGCCCTTACCGGCCCTCGGGACCGTCAAAAAACGACTCAGGATGAAAAACCGGTCCCGGCGAATAGGTCCGGACCTCTGGTGGTCGCGTCGTGAAAAAATCATGACGTCGGGTGTCTGGGTCGAGGACCACCCTGGACCATCGAGCAGCAAAAACACGCACGGAGCCGAAGAACGCACAGGAAATGGACGTCCGAGCGATGGCAAGGGCAGTCGATGCTGCGGCAGCGGCTTGCGCGCCTGCGTTCGGCCCATGGCGCCCACCCGAGGCCACGCACCAGAGGCCGCTCTTGCCTATCGGGTCGCTCTTGCGCGTGGCCGACCGGGGCCGCGCGGGCTCCGCGATAGGGCCGCGTGCTGGCCCCAGAAGTCCTGGAACGTTCCCTGAGCCATTCGCATCAGGACGAGTCGGGAGCGAAAACGACCATCACCGACACGCTGCTGTACGCGTCAGCATGCCACTCCTTGGCCTCGTGTCCGAAAGCGCGCCTCTTCGACAAAAAAGCACGCCGATGGGCTCCGCACGGCGGCGTGGCATTGATCCTGTTGCTGCCACCCCGGAATCGCCACCGTCCCAGGTGCGGGCATCCACCTGGAGATGCTCGGCGGCGAGGACGAGTTCGCCTTCCTGTCGACGGATGACGTCTGGGCCAGCCGGGGGGCGCGCCAGCCCGAGATGGAGATCAGGAAGGTGTCTGGGGAGAAGTATGCGACCATCAGGAATCGGGGGTCCCCAAACGGGGTGGTGAGCACACCGTGCGGTGAGTCGGTGGGAATTCGGGGTCGCCGCACGGTTTTGGGACTCGGGTCGTTCTCCAAGGACGTCTCGGGCGACAGTGCGACGACCCAGTCCCAAAAACCGCGCGACTTAGACAGTGCGGTGACGGACAGCGCGACTTCTCCGAGGTCCCAAGACCGTGCGGTGACGGACAGTGCTGTAGGTCTTGAGAGATTTCGAGGTCACCGCACGGTCCGTCACCGCACCGTTTCGGGACTCCAACAGGAAGACCGACAACACGACTTACATCATGGCGCGGGGGGCAGATACGCTGATGGTCTTCAGCGGCCGCTTCTCGAGGCACGAGCTGCAAGTGTGCTGCGCCGCGGGCCAGATGGTGGCCACGGTGACCCCGAGCAGCTCTAAGGCCATGTACGAGGTGGTTGTTTACACCAACGCAGACGCAGGGCTGATCATTCTCGGCTTGCTCGCGATCGACAAGGTGGAGGTCGCGCCCACGTAGGAAACTTCTACGTGCGAATTAGCTATCCTTCTGGTCGGGCCCCGCCATAGAGCCGAAGCAGCCAAGCGAAGGCGAAGGCAAATGCTGCCAGGATGCTGGATGCCCATGGCGCGGCTGGCCTGGGCGAGAACTGGATACACTCTCGGGCGCTGGGCCGCTCTATGGCCGGGCAGACCAGGCGTCCGCATGTGCATCTGGAGCGTGGCCTCCGGATGGTCCACGCGTGACTCCAGCCACGCGTGTGCTCTGGCCTCCTGGTGGGCAAAGGCATGGGCCAGGTGTGCGTGCCGTTTGTCCGCTCGCCTCCCTGCGAGCTGCTCGGTGCCCACGGGTTGAACAAGGCACGAGACTGGTGTCACCGAGCGCGTTCCACTACTCGCAACGTGCCTCCTCGCAAACGCCCGACAAAACACGTGTCTGCTTCGATGTGATGTGCTGTAGATCCCCCGCGGCGGATCCAGGCCACTTGCGAGAGAAGCTGCTTTGCGAGTAGTGGAGCGCGCTCGTCTATGGTCCGGGGTGCCGACCGAGAATTCGCCTGAGCACTTCCAGGAGCGTGGCGAGTCCTGGGCGGGCGTGTGCCCGGCGCAGCGATTGGGCGTGTTCTGAGCCCATACCCTCAACCTGCGCGAGGGCAGGCCCCCGTGGCAGCAACCGTGCGCCGTACAGAAAATCGCGCCAGGCATTCGGGCCGTTCCCCCTCGTTGCCCACTTCCTCTCGGGGGTGGACAGACCTCCTGCCCTGACACGTCGATAAGCGCATTGGCCGTTTTCGGTTCGCGAGAGGGCGTCGCGGCCGTCATTCTTGCGGGTCCAGGTCCGTCGGTTTCGGCCCCAGGCCGTTTTCACTAATGGGTGGTTTATTAAAGGGAGGTTTGTCCACCGCCGATCCTCACGCTCCCACGCGCTGGAGGCAATGAGCTCACTGAAAGCACAGATTGTTCTGGTGAGGCATTTGTCTGGCCCTGAGGTGGGTTCTTGCTTTCAGTGAGCTCATTGCCGCCATCCCGTTATAAGCATGCCGTCGCAGAAATGTACGCCGTCAGTCACCATCGTCATCGTCATCAGCACCATCGTCATCATCCTCCCGCCCGACGTGGCCTCTCGCACCATCACCATCGTCATCATCATCATCATCATCCTCATCATCAGCATCAGCCATACCTCCCGTCATGGGAGGGTTTGAGCGCAGCGGGCCCCGTCGGCTGCGCCCCAACATTGCCCCGAAAGCTCCCAGGAGGCTTTTTTCCTTACAGGTAACTCCTCCCTGTTGCACCCCCAGACGTGTCGGTAGGACGGGTCGGGCTTTTCGCCTGAGCTTTCCTCACCATCTGTGGTCCTGAAGTTTGAACCGTACAACAGCTTCACCAATGGAGGGCTGCTGGTTCTTTTCATATTGCGTTTCTCACCTTAGCGCCGCGCACATTCGTTTTGAAAGCGTGCAACAACTTCACGGATGGAGGGCGGGTGTTTTCAAAATGTGGTTCCAGCTTCTAGCGCCGCACATATTCGTTTCGAAAGTTCGCAACAGCTTCATTGATGAAGGGTGGGACATCTTTAAAGTGTGTTTATCACTGTAGCGCCGCGCACCTTCGTCTTGAAAGTTTGCAGCAGTTGCCAGGGCTCGCCTAGGTGAAGTCCCAGGAACGGTGTGTTGGCACAATTGGGGATGGTCAGGATGCAACATTCACGTTGCCTTGTGGCGTTGAAGTCCCAGGAATGGTTTTCTGCACGGCTTAAAAATGTCAGGACGCAACCTTCACGATGATTCGCGGCGCTGGAGTCCCAGGAATGGCGTTTTGGCGCCATTGAGATTCTCGGACGAGCGTAATCAAATGGGACACTTCCCACAATGAAAACACTTGTAGGAACCTATGAAGAGGGATCTTGGAGGGAGGGTTCATTGCAACATTGTTGATGCGTCTCGGGTTCAAATTGGTCCTCCTCCACCTCGTCTTCCTCATCTTTCCACTCATGCTGCTCCTCCTCCTCCTCCTCCTCCTCTTCCTCCTTTTTTCCATAGCCATTAAATCGCGTAGCGATTCGGGGGGCAGGAAAATCTTCAGGAAGGCCTTTGTGGGCTTCTTGGCTTCTATGCCTCTAGGCTTCCTTCCCTCTCACAACCTGGGCGCCTCTAAGGTGCAGCGGGTGGTATCTCACAGCCTTTCGCTGCAGTGCGGCAGGCGGGGTCTTACGGCCGTGCGCTGCGTTGCAGCAGGTGGTTCTCACGGCCGTGCGCTGCGTAGCAGCAGGCGGTTCCTCCTTTTCTCCTGCCGGTTGGTTGGTTGATTGGCGTGCCCTGGGCCACGCGCTCCGCTGCGCCGTTCCTGGGATGCTGGAGCGGCGGCGGCGTCGCAGGGAAGGCTGCGCGGGTCCAGCGCCCATCGCCGTTCCCAGGCCGTGCGCTGCAGGGCGAGGTCCACGCTCGAATCGGGCTCGCAACCCACCCATTCCCACCCCTGTGGCTGCGCATTTGTTGGGCGGCGCCTTGGCCAGGTTGGGCCCTGGTGGATTTCCAGTCTGGCCCAACCTGGCGGCGCCAAATATTTCAGCTCGCCCATTGTCGGCGCGAAGGCGTCGCCCAACTTCACGGTCGCATGACCGAACGCAGAAGATGTTTCTCTTCCCCAGTAGTCGGTAAGTCACTAAGGGATGCAGCCTGAACCTCACATGCCTAGGGAAACCGATGGCGGACTACCGAGGGCACTTGAGCAGCCCAGTCCCGATCTGGAGCCGGTGTTGGTGGGGACAGAGGTCGGCCACATCGTAAGCAAAAATCGAATCGGAGGATCAGTTTGCGTGACGTCACGTGCCTATGTGGCGTCACGTGCCTGTATCATCCACGACGGAAACAGAGTTGGGAGATCAAACAAAAATGATATGATCCAATGAAACACGACATAGTTGGGGGCGGTCACCCCCCAAGTTCTTGCAATCAAGAACCCTCAGCGCGACAAAGCCAGGCCAGGGGCCCCCTCCACCTTGGCACTGCAAGTGAACGTGCCGCCCACTCCCCAGTCACAAGATTAAACGATGCCGGCCTCGCTCACAGAGAATACAGCCAGAGACATGGGTGCCGCATGCTGCGCACGCCCCAACATGGCCCAAGCACACAACCGTACCAGGGAGCCGGGCGGTAGTTGTTTTCTTATTCGTTGTTTTGCCTGTCGGCGCGGACCCTCGCCCCTCCCCTCCCTCCCCCCCATGGAATAGATCTTGGCTGTTTGGGGCGCCTGTTTCGAGCAGGCGGAGCCTCCCCCATAGGACGCACTGTTGCAAACGGTCACGTTCAGTGGAGGTCCGGAGCCAGGCCCCCCCCCTCGCTCTCCCTTTTTCCGCCCCACGTCGAAACGTCGGTTCAGAGAACGCTCACATGCGCATGATGTGGCCGGCTTGGGCGAGAATCGGATACAAAGGTGGCTAGGTGTTTTTCCAGCGCTCGGTCCTTCTCTGGCCTGGCAGGTTGGGCTTCTGCATGTGCAGCCAGCGCGTGGCCTCTTGATGTTCCACGTGCGAATCCAACGAGCTGTGTGTGAGTGTGTCTCTGCTGCTGCCTGGTAGAACAGCATGATTTGTTCACGAAGGTGTCGCGGCAGTAGGTGCCGCGAAAATCGCGTTCGCAGATTCAAGAGGTCTGATGAACCAATCTCGCGAAGTCACGACCACGCTGCCCAGGAATCATGGGTCGAAGGGGATATAATTACCCCCGTAGAGCACCCTAATAGCAGTAAAGGAGACGAGATGGGTCGAGGAGTACGAGGTAGGTTAGCGAGAACGTGCATTCTCATATATTTCGAGGCATGTCTGATAAAAGCATTCGAAGTGCGGTAGGGTGTTTACTTTGGCTTCAGAGGCACGCGGAAGTAAAGCTCTGGCAACACGAACAGCCGGAAGTGCGGCAGAGTGTCTTCGTTTGCGTCAGATCTGTATGCGGGAGCGAAAATCTCGCACCACAATGGCAAAAAGAGCACCGCGAGCATGGCCACGTGCATCTTAGTGTACGTTTTACTATGTACCGTGGCCGCTCGGACCAAAAACGTAGCGACACTAAGGCGAAAACGCGACTGCTGAATACATTGTGAGGAAGTCTTTGGTGAGACCGACCCCGGACCAGGCGTCCTCAGGCTCCCCGGCCCCTGTGCGGGACTCTTCTGTGGGACTTCGCCTGGCTTGTAGAGTACCCCTTGTGCACCCTTATATTGTGCTTTTGAATGAGATCGTGGCCGTCCCGTCCCCCCTGTGGTAGCCGGTATCGAGGCGAGAACGTGTTTCGAAAGGTAATGAAGACACGTATCCAACCCCTTCTCCACGCGAGGCGAATCTGGCCTGGACGCTCCATGCGAGAACACATCGCCAGGTATATGCACGATCCGCGCTGCCCTCACCTCCGCCGTGCCTCCCACGCGCCCACGAGCGCGGCGACAACTGCGCACTTCCCAGCCTCCCAGGGAGTCGCGAGGTCTCGGATGGATCCGCGTGGTCCCCGACTCCGCTGGACCTCCCAGGAGCCAGCGAGATTGGAGACCACTGCACGTCTCTCGGCACTCCAAGGAGCAGCGAAGCCTCGTCTGGGTGCGCGTGGCCCCCGACTCCGCCGGATCCCCCAGGAGCCCAGGAGAGCGGCCACAAGTGCGCAGTTCGCAGCCACCCAGGGAGCAGCGAGGTCTCGCCTAGGCGCGCGTGGCCCCCAACTCCGCTGGACCTCGTGGTGACAATGCGCAGCTCACAGTCACCCAGGGAGCAACGAGGTCTCGTCTGGGCGCGTGGCCCCCGACTCCGATGGACCTCCCAGGAGATCAAGAAAGTGGCGACAATTTTGCTCAGTTCGCACCGCCCCAAGGGATGATCAAGGTCTCGTCTGGGCGCACGAGGCCCCCGACTCAGCTGGACCTCCCAGACGCCCACGACAGTGAACCCAATTGCACAGATCGCAGCCACCCAGGGAGCAGCGAAGCCTCGGCTAAGTGCGCGTGGCCCACGGCCCCTCCGTGCCTCCCTGAAGAGCCCACGAGAGCGGCAACAGTTGCGCGGAGCTGCGAGGTCTCGGATGTGTTCGCGTGGCCCCCGACTCTGGTGGACCTCCCAGGAGCCCATGCTAGTGACAACAAGTGCACAGTTCGTACCACCCAGGGAGCAGCGAGGTCTCGTCTGGGTGCGCGTGGCCCCCGACTTTGCGGGATTTCCCACGAGCCCATGAAAGCGGCGACAATTCCGCAGTTCGCAGCCACCCAGGGAGCAGCGAGGTCTCGTCTGGGTTTGCATGGCTCCCGACTCCTATGGACCTCCCAGAAGATCACGAAAGCCGTTCGCACCGCCCCAGGTAGTTGCGAGGTCTCGTCTGGGTGCACGAGGCCACCGATTCCGCTGGACCTCCCAGACGCCCACGAAAGTGGATACACTTGCACAGTTCGCAGCCACCCAGGGAGCAGCGAAGCCTCGGATGGGTACGCGCGGCCCACTACCCCTCCGTGCCTCCCAGGAACCTACGAAAGTGGCGACAATTACGCTGTTCGCAGCCACCCAAGGAGGTGCGAGGTCTCGGCTGGGTCTGCGGTTTGCGTAGACCCCGACTCTGGAGGACCTCCGAGGAGCCAACGAAAGTGACAACAAGTGCACAGTTCGCAACCACCCAGGGAGCAGCGCGGTCTCGTCTGGGTGCGCGTGGCCCCCGATTCTGCCGAACCTACCACGAGCCCATGAAAGCGGCGACAATTGCGCAGTTCGCAGCCACCCAGGGAGCAGCGAGGTCTCGTCTGCCTGCGCGTAGCCCCCGACTCCGCTAAATACGCCGGGAGCCCACGAAAGTGGTGCCAGTCGCGCAGTTCGCAGCCACCCAGGGAGCAGCGGGATCTCGTTTGGGTCCGCGTACTCCGCTACTCCAGCCTCCCAGGAGCCCATGAAAGTGGCGACAGTTGCGCAGTTCACGGCCCCTGCAGACATCCATGCAACATGCACGTGATTGTGAGTTGGAGTACTGAAGCCACTTGGGGCTCAAGAAATGTGCCATCGAACCACATCAGCATGGTAGCGCGGAGCGTGGTTCCCTGACCGCGGAGCCTGCCTGCCTCGGCCATGGAGGAGGCCCTCCGACTGATGGAGGCCAGGCTGACTGCGGCGGAGCAGCAGATCGCAGAGAGGACGGCCGAGCTCACGGAGGCCAAGCGGGTCATCGACCAGCTGAGCACCGCGGCGCCCGCTGCAGCTGGAGCCGCGGCCGCGCCTCAGCAGCCTAGCCGAGGCGAGAGCTCTCTCGTGGACACGAGGGCTCTGGGCAAGCCGCCGCTGTTTTCAGGCGACCTGACGGCGGACGGCAAGCCAGAGGGAGGTCTGGCGTGGCCGCAGTGGTCATTCACCTTCAGGGCCTACGCTGGCGCGTTCGACCCGACCTGCAGGGACGCGCTGGAGTACGCAGCCAACAAGGTCGACGACGAGCAGCAGATCAGCAATGTGACGATGGACCTGAACGACAAGAAGCTCTCGTCGCAGATCTACTACGTGCTGGCACTCACGTGTCGTGGGCGAGCGCTGTCGGTGGTGCAGCGCGTCCCAGAGGGCTGGGGCGTCGAGGCGTGGAGGCAGCTGTGCCGCGAGTTCGAGCCCAGGCTGCCGAGCCGCTTCCAGGGCATGCTGCAGAGGCTGCTCGACCCTGTGCGAGGCCCGGACATGTTGGAGAGCATCTACACTTGGGAGCGCCAGCTGAAGGTCTACGAGGAGCAGTCTGGCGACCAGATGGCTGACTCGATCAAGCTGGCGACTTTGACCAACAAGCTCTTGGATGGCCCCCTGAAGACCCACGTCAACCTCCAGGTAGGCCGCCTGCAGACGTACGAGGCTGCGAAGGCCGAGGTGATCTCGTACCTTCGCGCGACGGCCAACCAGGAGGAGGAGCCAGTACCCATGGAGTTGAACCCTGTGACTGGAGAGCTGTGCCCTATGACACGGGGCAAGGCCGGCAAAGGCAAAGGCAAGGACAAGAGCGGAAAAGGAAAGAGCCACGACGGAAAGGGTAAGAACAAGAAGGTCTGCTTCTACTGCGCCAAGCCGAACCACACGAAGCAGGAGTGCAGGATCTTAGCGAAGGACCGAGCAAGCAAGGACATCAAGCCAGACAAGTCTGGACGCTACGCAGGCAAGCCAGTCGACAAGATCACAGGCAAGCGCCTCGAGAGCGAGAATGGCGACACGGCGGCGTTGACGGCCCTGTCTGACGACGGCTACTACTACGACGAGCAGGATGGCTTCGTGTTCGCGCTGATGGAGGGCGAGAGCTCCAACGAGATCGAGACGGGTTACTGTTACGCCCTCGAGGGCGCCGACTTCGACCTGCTCTTTGACACGTGTGCTGCAAGGAGCGTCTGCCCACCCTCGTGGGCGCCTGAGGTGGCCATCAAGGAGTGCCGTGGGACGGTGCTCTACCAGGCCGACGGCAACGAGCTTAAGCACTACGGGAAGAAGGAGGTGAGCATGACGGATCAGAACTCTGGCGAGCCGCTGACAGTGAGCTTCGAGGCCAAAGGGGTGCGCAAGCCGATCATGGCAGCGAGTTCTGCAGTTGATGCGGGCTACGGTGTGTGGCTGTACGACGGAGGGAGCTACATCGTGAAGCCCGAGCAGGCGAAGGACTTGGCGAGCCACGTGAAGGACAACATCGGCAAGGGCAAGTCCATCGCGCTGAAGCGGAACAACGGCATCTTCGTCATCCCAGCTCGTCGGTGCTCGACTGGCGAGCTGTGCCCGACGACGGAGAAGAGCGACGAGCCGAAGCACGTTGGCGGACGGCCCAAGGTGGAGCTCGAGGACAGCGAGGAGGCCAGGAGCGCGACCACCAAGAAGGTAGCGGTCTGGCCGAGCGCAGACGAGAGGGCAAAGCACGAGGTCACTCACTGTCCATTCCGTGCCTGGTGCAGGTACTGCTTGACGGGCCAGGCGACCGAGGATCAGCACAGGAGTCAGGAGTCCGTCTCGACCGTCGCGAAGCTCGCGCTGGACTACTGCTTCCTAGCGCGGGAGGGCGAGCTGCAGAAGGCGACGATACTAGTCATCGTGCTGAGGCCTCCAGGCGCTATTGGAGCCACGCAGGTGTCGAAGAAGGGAGTTGACGACGTTGCAGTGGAGTTCGTACTCTTCCACCTCGAGGCATGGGGTGTTGGAGAGGTCGTCCTGAGGGCGGACCAGGAGCCCGCCATCCAGGCACTGCTAGGCGAGCTACGCCGACGTCGGGTGGAGCACCACCGCACGACAGTCGAGAAGTCCACGAAGCACGACAGCAAGGCGAACGGCGTGATCGAGGCCGTGGTGCGTAGAGTGGAGTCACTCACCCGCACGTACGTGGCCGTCATCGAGGAGAAGTTCAAGACCAAGGTGACGAGTCAGTCGGTGGTCCTGCCGTGGCTGGTCAGGCATGCGGCCTACGTCCTCACGAGGTTCGTCACGAAGAGCGACGGAAGGAGCGCTTGGGCGACGATCAAGGGCAAGGAGTTCGCGTCGCCCGTGGAGTGTGTGGGCGAGACTGTGGACTTCAAGCTGATCCGCAAGGACCAGTCGAAGCTCGACCCGCGCTGGGCCACAGGAGTGTTCCTCGGGCGGAGGGACGAGAGTGATGAGGTCATCGTGGGCACGGCGCGAGGGGTCGAGTTCAGCAGGACGTTCAGGAGGCGCGACGACAGCGAGCGGTGGGTCCAGGAGGAGTTCAGGACGTTCATCGGTGTGCCCTGGAACCCGAGAGCGCCTACGACGGAGACACCGGTGGTGAGTACGAGAAGGAGGTACATCACGCGTGCCCTGATCCAGGAGCACGGCGAGAGCCCAGACTGCCCAGCTTGTCTGGGGCTGTCCAGCGTGCACACGGTGGCGTGCAGGGCTCGGTTCGAGGAGATCTTCAAGGCGAAGGCTGAGCAGCCGATCCAGCTGCAGCCAGCTGTGGGTGCCGCAGGCGCCGAGGCTGCGAGGCCAGTACCACAACAAGCAGCTCCCGCACCGCAGCAGGAGATAAGTCCACCTCCAGGACTGCAACTGCCAGCAGCCGCAGCACCGAAGAGAGAGAGAGAGAGATGCTGAAGCAGCCGAGCCAGCAAGAAAGAGGCCAGTGATCGAGGTGGTTCCTGCTGCGCCCATGGACACCGACCCAGACGGTGAACCCATGACTCTCGGAGCGCTCTGCGAGGAGGAGGTCTCACCTCCAACCTTCGACGGGGAGCTGTTCGCGGGGAGCTTCCACGACCAGTTCACGGGCGAGGTGCTGCCGAAGGAGCTGGTGCTGCAGGGCGTGAAGCGCGAGCTCGACGAGATGGACGAGTTCGAGGTGATGGTCTGGAAGAAGCGCAGCGAGAAGCCAGCTGGTGAGAGGGTGATCTCCACCAAGCTCTTCCACACCAGGAAGGGGCCAGACTGCGTGCGATCGCGGATCGTCGCGCGTGACTTCGCAGGAGGCGTCTTTGCTCCAGAGCACTACGCGGGGACACCACCGACATGGGCGCTGAAGCTGGTGATCTCGAGGTTGGCGTCGAGGGGCAACTCGAGGCAGCTCGCAGCTCACGACATCTCGGTGGCCTTCTTCCACGCTGAACTGAAGGAGCCCGTGTGGGCCGAGCCTCCGAAGGAGCTGAACTGCCCCGACTGGCTCTGGCTGGTGAGTAAGGCGCTGTACGGGATGCGTGAGTCGAGCGCGGACTTCCAGCAGCTGGTGCGCGACACGTACCGAGAGCACGGCTGGAACATCTTGTCGACGGTCCCCTGCTTGGCGTACCACAGCGAGTGGGACTGCCTGTCGGGCTTCCACGGGGATGACTTCTACACCGAGGGCGAGCCGCACGAGCTGGACAAGGTGGACGCAATGATCACGGGCAACTTCAAGGCCAAGATCCTCCCGAGAGTTGGTCCAGCCGCTGAAGAGCAAGGCCTGGTGCTACGACGGCTTCTACTTTGGAACGCGAAGGGGTTCATGCTGCTGCCAGACCCGAAGCACTTCGAGAACCTGAGCACGTTGCTGGACCTGAAGAACGTGAAGCCTTCCCCGACGCCTGTCAGCCGAGCGACTGGCAAGAACGCGAGGGACGCCCTGGAGGAGCTGAAGCGGACCGAGAAGGCGATCTACTGCAGGGGCACGGGCATCTGCATGTACATCGGGCCAGACCGCTTCGACATCCAGTTCGCCACCAAGCAGCTGGCGTCGGATATGGCGCATCCGACGCGCCTGAGCATGATGCGGCTCAGGAGGTTGGCACGCTACCTCGCGGGGACGCACGACGTCGGGATCGAGTTCCTCTACCAGGAGAAGTGGACGGACGTGGTGGTTTACTCCGACGGCGACTGGAGCGGCGACGTACAGACATGCAAGAGCACGTCGGCGGGGACCATCCAGGTCGGAGATCCTGGCGCTGGTCATCTCATCGAGAGCTGGAGCATCACGCAGGGCGCTGTTGCACTCAGCAGCGCAGAGTCGGAGTTCTACGCCATCGGCTCGGCGGCAGCGCGTGGCATCACAGTCAAGCAGGTGATGCTCGAGATCGCTGAGCTCGGAGCTGGTGTGCCAGCAGACGTGAGGCTGATCATTCGCACGGACTCGGACGCGGCCCGTGGGATGATCCACAGAGTAGGCTGCGGGCGTGTACGGCATCTACAGACCAGGTACCTTTGGCACCAGCAGGCGCTGAGGGAGAAGCAGTTCGAGGTTGAGAGAGTGGACGGCAAGAAGAACCCGAGTGATGCAGGCACGAAGCCGCTGGAGCAGGAGGCGCTGCAGGTCTGCATGAGGAACCTCGGGATCGTGAGCAGAAAGATCGCTGGCTTCGGGACGGACGAGGCCAGCCAGGTCTTGGCGGCGCTGCTGCTGTTCGCGGCGGCGCAGACCGCCAACGGAACGCCGTATATGGAGCCCAGCACGGGGGCCCAGGGTACGATCGTGGAGGTCGCCCGCGCGGCAGGCGGGAGCGTGTCGCAGGGCGGTGGCATGCAGCTCACCGCGTTCATGATGGTCATCCTGATCTTCATTGGGATTGCGACGGGCGTGCTCATCGAGAGGCACGTGCTGAAGGAGCGCCGCGAGGAGCGCCATGAGGTGACCGTATGCCTTCGGGACGCAGGTGTGCAGGTCGAGCCAGTACCCAAGCGCTGCGAGGAGAAGGGCAGTCAGGGCCCTTGCACGTACGCGAGGCATCGTGTCCAGCCTCGGTTCGTGCCCCTGCCAGATGTGTCGTGGGGTTGAGAAGCTCCCGCAGGCTACGGAGAGAGCTGGCGCGAGGCTGTAGGCCACAGCCCGCTTTAGGAAGAGCTGCAGGCGGCAACAGAGAGTGAGACCGGTATAACGCGTTTAGTTTCAACGTGCTCTGGCGGAGCGTTTCCAGAGCACACTGTTTTCGCTTCAGCGTCGATCGGACTGATCACCCGATGATGCGCTGGAGCCACGAGTTCGGAGCTACGGACGAGTGCAAGTTGCTAAGGCCAGCTTGCACCCTCGAGGGTGCCGCGCTGAGGAGGCGTGCAGACATCCATGCAACATGCACGTGATTGTGAGTTGGAGTACTGAAGCCACTTGGGGCTCAAGAAATGTGCCATCGAACCACATCAGCAGCCCCCCAGTAAGTTGCGAGGTCTAGTCTGGGTATGTTTACTCCCTTACTCCGCCGTGTCTCCCAAAAGCCAACGAAAGTGGCGACAATTGAGCAGTTCGCAACCATTCCGGGAGCAGCGAGGTCTTGGTTGGGTGCGCGTACTTCCCGATTTCGCCGTGCCTCCCAGGAGCCAACGAAAGTGGCGCCAATTTCGCAGTTCGCAGCCCTCAAGTAAGTTGCGAGGTCTAGCCTGGGTCCGTTTACTCCTTTACTCCGCCGTGCCTCTCAGGAGCCCGCAGAAGTGGCGACAGCTGCGCAGTTCGCAGCCTCCTAGGAGGTTGCGAGGTCTAGCCTGGGTCAGTGTAATCCCCTACTCCGCCGTGCCTCCCAGGACCCCAGCGAAAGTGGCGACGGCTGCCAGTTCGCAGCCCCCAAAGGAGCTGCGAGGTCGAGTCTGGGTCCGTTTACTCCCCTGCTCCGCCGTGCCTCCCGTGAGCCCACGAAAGTGGCGACCGTTGCGCAATTCGCAGCCACCAAGGGGGCAGCGACGTCTGGGTGCGCGTGGCCCCCGACTCCGCCGTGTCTCCCAGGAGCCCACGAAAGCGGTGCCAGTTGCGAATTTCGCCCCCCCCCAAAAAAAAAAAAGAAAAGCCTTGTGACGTTATACTTTTTACACATGCGGCGGTTATACTCAGGACCACTCAATGCTGACTGGCATTATGAAGGACCCGCAGTGCGCAAGAAGAGCACCCAGCAGTGATTTCAGAAGAGCGCAGCCAGAAGAGGAACGGCAAATATACAAAATGGAAGCACAGGGGCTTTGAAAGAAACGCGTATGACGCACCTTCGAGTGATTCACGTGGGACGTACCTCCGTTGGGCCTCCCAGGAGCCCACGAAAGTGGCGACAGTTGCGCAGATCGCAAGCCCCCCAGGGGGCGGCGAGGTCCCGAGGTGATCCGCGTGGGCCCCACCTCCGCTGTGCCTCCCAGGAGCCCACGAAAGTGGCAACAGTTGCACAGATCGCAAGCCCCCCAGGGGGCGGCGAGGTACCGAGGTGATCCGCGTGGGACCCACCTCCGCTGGGCCTCCCAGGAGCCCACGAAAGTGGCGACAGTTGCGCAGATCGCAAGTCCCCCAGGGGGCGGCGAAATCCCGAGGTGATCCGCGTGGGACCCACCTCCGCTGGGCCTCCCAGGAGCCCACGAAAGTGGCGACAGTTGCGCAGATCGCAAGCCCCCAGGGGGCGGCGAGGTCCCGAGGTGATCCGCGTGGGACCCACCTCCGTTGGGCCTCCCAGGAGCCCACGAAAGTGGCGACAGTTGCGCAGATCGCAAGCCCCCCAGGGGGCGGCGAGGTCCCGAGGTGATCCGCGTGGGACCCACCTCCGCTGGGCCTCCCAGGAGCCCACGAAAATGGCGACAGTGCGCAGATCGCAAGCCCCCCCCAGGGGGCGGCGAGGTCCCGAGGTGATCCGCGTGGGACCCACCTCCGCTGGGGCTCCCAGGAGCCCACGAAAGTGGCGACAGTTGCGCAGATCGCAAGCCCCCCAGCGGGCGGCGAGGTCCCGAGGTGATCCGCGTGGGACCCACCTCCGTTGGGCCTCCCAGGAGCCCACGAAAGTGGCGACGGTTGCGCAGATCGCAAGCCCCCCAGGGGGCGGCGAGGTACCGAGGTGATCCGCGTGGGACCCACACCCGCTGGGCCCCCCAGGAGCACACGAAAGTGGCGACAGTTGCGCAGATCGCAAGCCCCCCAGGGGGCGGCGTGCTACCGACGTGATCTGCGTGTGACCCACCTCCGTTGGGCCCCCCAGGAGCCGACAAAAGTGGCGACGGTTGCGCAGATCGCAAGCCCCCCAGGGGGTGGCGAGGTCCCGAGGTGATCCGCGTGGGACCCACCTCCACTGGGCCTCCCAGGAGCCAACGAAAGTGGCGACAGTTGCGCAGATCGCAAGCCCCCCAGGGAGCGGCGAGCTACCGAGTAATCCACGTGGGACCCACCTCCGCTGGGCCTCCCAGGAGCCCACGAAAGTGGCGACAGTTGCGCAGATCGCAAGCCAAAAAAACAAGCGGCGAGGTCTCGAGGTGATCCGCGTGGGACCCACCCCCGCTGGGCCCCCCAGGAGCACACGAAAGTGGCGACAGTTGCGCAGATCGCAAGCCCCCCAGGGGGCGGCGAGGTCCCGAGGTGATCCGCGTGGGACCCACGTCCGCTGGGCCTCCCAGGAGCCCACGAATGTGGCGACAGTTGCGCAGATCGCAAGCCCCCCTCCCCGGGGGCGGCGAGGTACCAAGGTGATCCGCGTGGGACCCACTTCCGCTGGGCCTCCCAGGAGCCCACGAAAGTGACGACAGTTGCGCAGATCGCAAGGCCCCCAGGGGGTGGCGAGGTCCCGAGGTGATCCGCGTGGGACCCACCTCCGCTGGGCCTCCCAGGAGCCC